AAAAAAAAAAAAAAAAGGAAAAAGGAAGGAAAAAAGAAAAAGGCGCCCCGATAAGTAGCGGGGAAAAGAGGGGAGAAACGACCGGGACGGGGGGAGGGGCTGAGTCCCCAACACACCCCGGGTTTTAGGGCAAACTTTGAGCAGGCAGAGACCCCGGCCGGCCCTTCCCGCGGCGGAGCGGCCGCCTGCAAAGAGCCAACGTTGCTTCCTTCGCTCCATGTGCGAACCTGGCTGGAATGTCTGGGCGGCCGTGGGGGAGAGAAATTGCGGCGGAAAGTTTGGGGGGTTTTGCAAAGGGCCGAGGGAGCCGGGGATGGATGGCAGGAAGAAATGGCCCTGGGTTTTCTGCCATCCCTGGGAGGGAACAAAACCCGCCGGGAGTAATGGGAGAGAGAGAAAGGAAGAAATAAAGAAAAGGGGGGAAAATGACTGATAAGAAGCATGCAGCATTTCCCCTTCCCCCGGCTCACCCCGAGGAAAAGGGGATTTTTTTTTCTCCCTTCCTTCCCACCCCCCTCGCCCCAAACCTTTCCAGCTCGAGTTGCCTTTTGTTGTGCAAAGAGCGCTCCCGCTTATCTTGCATCTAGCCCTGGCGTGTGTGGTGGCGGCTGGAGGGAGKGACGGAGGGAGCCGGAGAGTTTTTGTTGCGAACGGGGTGGTGGGGCTCGGGGTTTGTTTTTCTCTCCCGGGGAGAGCGGATTTGGTTTGGGGTTGAAATGCGGCGGCGAGAAAGGGCCGTTCGCGGGTGTGAGGGTGCGAGTGTGTGTGTGCGTGTGTGTGTGCGCGCGTGTGTGCTCAGCCCGGGCTCGCTCTCGCCTGTGTTTGTTGGCAGGAGGCTCCCCGCACACGCGGTGCTTGTAAACATTCAGACACGAGATTTTTCCCAATCAAAATCCACTTCCACTTTTTTTTTTTTTTTTTGAAAATCTTCCAAAAAATAGTAAGCGAGCGGGAGAACGCGAGGCGAGGGCGAGGAGGGAATCCCAGCCGGCGCGGCGCGGCTCGGCTCGGCTGAGCCCCCCCCGGGAGGGCGCCGCGGGGCGAGGGGGCGAGCCCGCCGGCAGCCCGGAGGGCTCCGGCCGCCGGACTTTCTCCGTGCTGTGCTCGCCCGCAGATCCCGCCCGCCCGGCCACCGTGGTGTCCGGTGTCCAGTCCGCCGCTCCCGCAGGAATTTCTTCCCACTTTCGGCCGGTTGTGCCCCCGGCAGCCCCGCACCTCGCCCGCGCTTCTCCCGGTGCCGGGGCGAGAGCTGCCGCTCTTGCCGCCAAAGAGCGCGGAGAGCGGGAGGCGAGACGCGAGCGTGGAGCGGGGCAGCTGAGTGCGCGCCGGCGGGGGCAGAAAGAGAAGTCATCAAGGTGATTAAATTAGAGAGAGAGAAATTAACCGGAATGCTGAGAATCCCGAGCCGGCGCGGAGTTAATTTTTTTCTGGACTCGCTCACTCGCTCTCACTTTTAATTTTTTTTTCCCTGCTTTCGCTCAAATTTAAAATTAAATCCGTGAAGGGGAAATTAAATAAATTGCTCTCCGGGTTACTTACGTGAAAATTCCCGTTTGCTTAAGTGCTGGGGTTTGCCTTGCTTGCGGCGCGACATGGTGGGTTGGTGGCTTCGGTGGCTTGTGAGTCGCTCGGTTCACATCGGGAGAGACGGGTTAGAGAGGAAGGAGACTCCAGAGAAAATATCTTCATCAATGTCTTTTGACATCCAAAATAAATTAGAAATAATACAAAGATGGCGCAGGGAAGATGAATTGTGGGATAGCAGTCATGGCTTTTTTTTTTTTTTTTGTGCAAGGAAAAAAAAAGAGAGAGAGGGAGAGGGAGAGAGAGAGAGAGGGAGAGAGAGAAGGAGAGAGAGAGATGAAAAAAATGGCAAAAGCCCCCCTGAGCTGCAAGTTCAAGTGCGGACGTGACGTCCCTGCGAACTTGAACGTCAGGAGCCTGGATGGACAGAGACATACAAAACATGGGCAGGGCAAGCCGGGGAGAGGGGAGGAGGGAAGGCGAAGGCAACACCAATGGACACTCATCAGGGGCTGGACATGAAAAAGAGAGCAGGACAAGCCAATGGACAGTGATCGCAGGGGGGGGAGGGGAGGGGGGGGGGGGGTGCACCGGCCGCCCGGCGCACGCTGCCGAATGGAGCCGGGGGGCCGGGGGCGGAGGGGGCGGCGGCCGGAGCCACGAGTGGCCGCGGAGGAGCGGGTGCAAGAGGGGACCCGGGAGAGGGGCGAAGGGGGGAAATTAAACACGCACGCGAGGAGAGAGAAGGGAGGAAAAGGAGCAGGAGAAAGCGAGCAGGCAGGCAGGCAGCGGCAGCTCTCGCACGCACACCCCCGCTGGAAAAGCAAACACATCGGTGAAGCCAGAGCCGGGCAGAGAGGGCTGCGGGGCAGGCTGGCCGCGGGCYGTGCCGAGGAGGTGGGGGAGCTGGGGGAAGCCAGGTAGGACCGGAGACCACCCAAAAAGCAGGGGGGGGTATCCGACTCCCGGCTTCCCCGCTCGCCCCCCCCATCCCCCTCGAAGCCGCCGAGTCCCCTCCTCCCGGGAGCTGCGGCCCGTCCCCGGGGGACGGCGGCGGCGGGCCCGCGGGGAGCTGAGGGGCGGCGAGGGCTTGGGCCGGGCCGCGGGAAACTTCGGCGGCGAGCGGCGGGCCTTGCCCCGGGGCGGGCGGGGGCGCAACGAGCGGAGTTTGGCGGGCGAGGAAGCGGCAGGCACAGGAGGAAAAGCCGCAGGAGCGGGGCGTGGGGGAGTGGAGGGTGGCGGGACCTCGCAGCTTYCCCCGCGGGCTGCTCGAGCCCGCCAGCCCCGGAGTCCCCCTTCTTCCCCAGCGGCGCTCCGAGCCCTGCCCGCAGCCACGGGCTCTGAACGAAAGCGAAACGTGGGGCTGCCGGCGGGGCGGCGCGGGCAGCGGGCTGGCAACGGGGGAGGGCGGGAGATGGGGGGAGGAGGCGGCAGGAGGCACCGAGAAGTGGCTGGAGTTGGGAGGATGCGGCGGCGGYGACTGCCGCTGCAACTTCGCCGAAAGGACCCGGAGCGAGGCGGCACTGCGGGCACCGGGAGGGATCAGGTTGCGGTAGAAATGAGCTYTGGAGGCGAACGAGTGTGCGGAGCAAAGTGCGGCTGAGAAAGGAGTGCGAGGGGGTAATCGTGCCCGGGACGGCGACGGACAGCCGGAGCGGAGCGCCGGGCGAGAGCCCGGGGGAATGACGAGCTGCCCGCCGCCGTAAGGGAGACTTTACTGGGCAGAGCCGCGGCCGCCCAGGGGAGCGAGGGGGCGGGCGGGGGCCGGTGCTCGGCGGGGACCTGTTGGCGGGGCGAGCCCGAGCGCGCACCGGCGGAGCTGTCAGGGGCCGGGCCGAGCTGTTCCGCCGTGGGATGGTTTCAGCTTCCCGCCAGCCGCCCCCCGGCTCCGCCCGCTGCCGCTCAGCCCCCCCCCCCCTCGGCCCCCGCTTCCCTCCTTTATCCGCCGGCACGGGCGACCCCAGCGCGGAGATGCGCCCTGCGGCTGCCGGGGCAGGGTGCGGGAGCAGATGCGGGACGTGGCGGGGGGATCCAGCCGCAGGTGACAACAGCGGCGGCTCCTGGGCTCACGCCGCTCGCAGGGCTGGCGGTGCCAGGCGTGCACACGTCCCTGCGCGAAACACGGGTCTGTGTGTCTGTACTGGAGATGTAGATACATATATGGGGCTTGATTTATATCTAATGACACGTATAAAGCTTTTGAAGGTGGCTGCAATGTAAAAAGTAATGACTTTTATTACCCCTGAAAGGTTCTGCGGTTCGCAGTTAACACTCCTCTGAATTACAATTCATTACGCTCTCTGAAGCAAACCTGCATCAGAACACCTACCTGTGCTTATTCCCAATCACAGGCATCGTTTCATTGATTTTCCTTTTCAAAAATCATAGCAAATTAAGCACTTGGTGACAACTAAATCTGTTTCATTATCGTGCCGTGTTTGAGATTCCAGAGGTGACTTCCTAGACCGCATCTCAAAACCTACAGTCAGGAGCTAATTTTACAGATGCTTTCATGAATGGCAGCGAGGATGTTCTTACCATCAGCATGCCCTTAATTCCAGCACCGTAAAAATGCCTCGAATTAAATGGAAACTCGCTGCCTTAAAAATAATATTTCATCCTGGCTGGATAATTATTAATATTAGCATTTGATCGCAATAGTGCTGGGCTCTCCCTCGTTCCTGTACCCCCCCCCCCCTCCGCGCTTCGCATTGTCATGTGATTGGAGGGAGATAACAAACCTCAAGAAAGAAAAGGAGTGAGAAGACATTTTTAACACGGCATGACCGCAGATTAATAATGCAGGTGGGTTTTTATTTCATTGTATTTTTAGGGGAAGGGAGCGAGGCTGTTTAACGAGCAGTCGTGGACACAAAGTGACTATATTTACAATCCTTGATGTGGCTTTCGGTGGGCAATAAATTATGACAATATTAAAATTATTTTCTGGCAGCCCAGTTAACTGCACTGGGGACTGTAAAGCCCCTACTGATTCCATTTATGCCTTGTAATTGCGGTCCACAGTCTCTCTCTAAACCTTTTGGTGTATATTGTGTGTAAACTTTTAGCTAATAGACTTTTTTTTTGAATGGAGGGACTTTACTCGGTACTTCCTGCCGTATACATTTTGTCTCTGATCTCTGTATTTAATGGCCAAGTCCTGGTTTATGCTTTATAATGTGTTGACAAGTTTTCTAACAGACTTTCTGAAATAATGCACATATATTCACGTCGGTTAGAAACTCCACAGTATTTTTAGAGTCGAGTAGATCTATATCCTAATGCACTGAGAGGGAGTGTAAATCATAGAGGATTTCATAGCCCTTTCAGTAGTTTTCTGTATGAAGTATGAGCAGCGTGGCCTCCAGACGTAACCTTTTAGAAAAAAAGACAGTGCTTTTATTTTATGGTGTAAAGTGCTTTTAGCTTCAGGGCTCTGAACGTGAATGTGGTCAACAAACAGCTCTTGCGAGGCAGTTTGCTACAGCCTCAGCCCCAGCGCCGGGCGCTCCCTTCGCTACAGGGAGGAATGTGGAGCCGTCCCCTGCCGCAGGACCGGGCTGAGCCCCCCCAGAGACACGGTACACCCCGCCGGGTCCCYCCCCGTCAGTGTCCTCGGCTCGGACACCCCGCGGAAAGGGCGGGTCGGATGGCCCCCGGCGCTGCCGGAGAGGCTGATGGTGGCAGCAGGGGACCTTCCCYGGCGCATCCGGGGCAGGGGGCTGAGCCGGCCACGGCACCGGCGGCAAAGGCAGGGTCAGGGGGCACAGCTGGGGATGGGAGCACCGCAGGGGAGCTKTGGGGCAAGGGCGACGTACCCCGTCACTGCCCTGCTGCATCCTGCAAGCTGCATCTCCTGCATCTCTGCCTCTGCCCTCACAGTGCCTCTGTGACACACCGAGGATCTTTAGCCCCGTCTGCAGCTCTTGCACAGTGGTGTCCCTTGCTGGGTTTTACTAACAAAGCCAGTGCAAGTGACAGGTAAATACGGTGAGAAATGCTAACACCCAGAAATGCTGGTAGATTGGGAATGCAGGTGAAAACAAACCCAGGCCAGCACAGGAGATGACCCAGTGATCGTGTTCTGCAGATGGACACAAACTTGTGTCACCTGCTCCTCCACAACTATTCTTTGCCCAAGCTGCAGGGCATGTCTCCTGCATTTGGAGCTGCAGTCACCCCTGGCCATGTTATCAGCTGCTCTTTGGCTACAGACTGCCAGCCCCAAAGCAAAGTCAGCTGGAGAAATGTGGCTTCACATCTCAGCAAGCTCTGAGGTATCGCTGGGATCAGGGCCATGGTGGGTTTCAGGCTGCCTCCAAGGGGAAGCCAGCCTTAGAGAAAGGTCTGTTTCATTAGCTGAGTGCCTGTCCTGTCACTCTGAACCAGAGCCTTGAGAYACCAAGTCATGCTTTGGAGCAGCTGAGAGCAGAGGTGGGCACCCATCCCTGTCCCACAGCAATGGCAGTAACCTGCAGCAGCAGGACAGAGTGCCCAGATGAGAACATTCATGCTGTAAAAATTAGTCTAAGATTTGCCAAAATATATCTGTCCCTTTCCTCATGCCTCAGCTCTCTGCCTGAGAAACAGCGTGGTTCTCCCTGCATTCAAGCACATGAGATAGAAGTTGCTGTAGAAAGGGACATAAAACTCTAAATTGAGAAGTGTGGCCTTCATCTCACAGGCAGGCACACAGGACTGGGACCTGAAGGTGCAAAGGAGTGTGACACAATTCATGCCATGTACTGCTGTCCCTGCTTATCTGCTAATTTAGTGACAGACTTGGCAGTGGGTGAGTTCAGTAACTTTGGTGGGCAAATGTTCCTGCTTCGAAGCTCCAACTGTCACTCAGAGCAGGAATCTCACTTGCCAACATTACAGAACATTAGGACCAAACACAAATTCCAAAACTCTGCCAGTTCCCCCGAGCTGGGCTGCATTATGTAACGGCAGATCGCACGGGGTGCTTTCCGACACCGTCTTGATAGTCTCAATCAGGCAGAGGCAACGTGGGTGGAACTCTTATCACACCAGGCTGACTCCTGTGAATGAGCAGAGGACTTGCACGTTCTAGAAATAGTATGTGCATTAGTATTCCCGCAGGAGAAACTTGGGTGCGCTGCATTGCCTTTTCTCCCTTTCTTTTCCCCCCGTTTTAATAAAGGCTCAAAATAAACTCTGATTTTGCAAGCTCTTACTAGCAAGCACAGAACACAGAGCAGCGAGTCCGTGCAGGATCACAGACATCTGAGCGCCAGGTGACAGAAAGATTTCGTTATCAGCTTGCCCTAGGCAGGACCTGGAATAAAACCCTGAACTTGGGGAGACTTTTTTCCATGGGTTTCAGCAAGGTCTGGGATTTCAGCCTGCCTCTGCTTGCACAGCACCTAGCATGATGGAGCCCTGAACCTTGACAGGGCTTTCTGGGGATGACTRTAAAATAAATGGCATAAAGTGCTCAGCGAACAGACTTAGAAATGGCCAAAACCCTCCCTCAAAGCACATAGAGTTATGCTTGTGTGTGGGCTGGCAGAGGAGGGCACTACTAAAGGCCCATAAAATCTCATTTTTT